TTTGAAACTGAGATGAGCACTGCTCCCTAAAGTCGGGAATGACTAGCACATATATGTGAGGGGAACCCTTACCTTTAGCCTTACCTTCCCTCTTAAAAATATGAGAGGCATTTCACTAATTCAACTATTAAAATATTTAAATTATCTGAAAAGCCCTCAAGAAAAATAAACTCATGCTCCATCTTGTGATCTCCATACTATTCTCATAACATCGGGTGTCTAAATGATAAAATTGGGGCTATTGATTTTAAGAAAGTTGTCTAGGAATGGATTGGAAGCCATCTTTTGTATTAGGCCTTCAGGCTTGACAGCTACAGGGAATCACATATAGGTACCTATGTTTTACTTAGCATAAACATGTGGATAGAGATACATTCTAATAATGTTAAAACTTGCATTCATTAACTGAAATTAAACGTAGGGATGCTCAGGTATCTCTTTAAGGATAATCATTGTTTATTAGTCGTTGTTATCTTCTGTTTTCATTCTGAACAAGTAGCTTAATTGAAATTCAAAATGAACAACAATGTAAAAAGGCTGTTTTTTTTCTCACCTGTCAGTTGAGTTCGGTGTTAGAAGGGGTATTCTAATATGACAGTGCTCTGTGTTTTCCAGGTTAGCAATAGTTTGAACTTGACTTCTCTGAAAACATTCAATGTGACTTCAGACTCCATTCCAGATACCATTGTCCCCCTGGGAATTTTGAATGAAATTCTGCCTAATCAGTGTGTTGTCTTGGTTCGCAGATGTTTGAGTCAAGCTGTTGGGTTCAGAAGATTAATCTTTCTTGATATCTGTAGTATGAAATCAGAATCTTGTTCAATCTAGATAATAGTCACTGGTGATGAACAATCTTCATTGTCTGCTTTATGAACTGATAAAGTGCAGATGTGGGAGGAAAAAGCAACCCAAAGCAAACCCATTTTGCTCTTCAGATGGATGAACTGTGAAGCACCAGTTGTGAAGTGAGGCTTGCAAAATGTTTGTTGAAACCCATCGTTCTTCATTTTAAATTTTGACAGAGCAATTGCTCTTTCCGTATCTGACCTTTAAGGATGAATTGATAATGGGAATAGATTGGGAAACATCTTTTGTATCGTTCTCTCCTAAACCTCATAAAGCCATCATAGGCAGTCAATAGCTCATATCTCATCTATAGCTAGTTACCTTCACAAAGAAATTGAATAAGCAGAATTCAGATTTCAGCAGGCTGGGGAAAAAATGAAAAAAAAAAAAGCTGTTACCAAAGACAAAGTGTTATAGATAATTGAGAGAGACAGAAAGTTAGTTTTCAATAATACATCTAGCAATGGATGTGTGTCTGTCTGTGTGATGTGTATATATAGAGTGGTGATAGATGTAGCAATGCCAAGTGACAGTAAGATCAGGAAGGAGAATGAGTAACTGGAGAAGTACCAGGGCATGAAGGAGGAACTAGAGAGGATGTGGAAAAGCCCAATGTGGTCCCAATGGTACAGACTGAAATCAGGAATAATAGAAAAACTGTTGGAAAGGACCTTGGAGATCTTTTCATCCAACCTCCTGCTCAAGCAGGAGTCCCTATATTATTTCATACAAATGGCTGTCTAATTTCTTCTTAAAAGCCTCTAGCAATAGAGCACCCATACCCCCTGAAGGCAAGCCATTCCACTGGTTAATTCTCTGGAAATTTCTCCTTCGTTCTAGGTTGCTTCTCACCTTCATTAGTTTCCATCTATTGATTCTTGTCTTCCTTCTGGTGCTTTGGAAAATAGGTTGACCCCCTCTTTTTTTGTGACAGCCCTTCAAATTTTGGACCACTGCTATCCTTGTCCTTTTTCACTAGACTAGTCATACCCAATTCCTGCAACCATTCTTCATGTTTTAGCCTCCAGCCCCCTAATAATAGGGATGTGGTGGCTCAGTGGCTAGGACACTGAGCTTGTCAGTCAGAAGGTTGGCAGTTCGGTGGTTCGAATCCCTAGCGCCACGTAACGGAGTGAGCTCACGTTACTTGTCTCAGCTTCTGCCAACCTAACAGTTCGAAAGCACGTAAAATGCAAGTAGAAATTGATTGTATTGTATTGTATTATAATAAATTTCAATAAAAATTTTTTAAAAATGCAAGTAGAAAAATAGGGAGCACCTTTGGTGGAAAGGTAACAGCGTTCCATGCACCTTTGGCATTTAGTCATGCTGGCCACATGACCACGGAGATGTCTTTGAACAGCGCTGGCTCTTCGGCTTGAAACGGAGATGAGCACTGCCCCCTAGAGTCGGGAATGACTAGCACGCATGTGGGGGAAACCTTTACCTTTACCTTTACCTTTTATCCCTAATAATAATCTACCTCTCTCCCTATGTGTGTGTGGGTGCACACTATGTATATACATAGATATATAGAGACTCACATGCACACATACATCCACACACCCACACCTACACAAGAACTATGTTGTTTCTGGGATCTATTGGAGCCATTCTCTCATCCTATCATCACAAATCCTATCCTTCACACTGTTGTGTATGGTTTTTCCCAGAGAGAAATTTAAATGTAGTTCGGGCTTCTAGGTAGAAGTGGGCAATTCTTACCTACTTGGCTTCTGCTTCTGCTTGTTCTGTGGTATGTAGAAAGTCAGCACCCACCTCTAGAGAATGAAATATTTTGGGGAATATTAAAAAGGTAGGATAGAATATTTCCCCTACAGGAGAAGTGGGGAAAAAAGGAGGCAGAAACCAGCACCAGTCTCCCTGCCCCAAGCAGAAACTGAAGAGGCCAGCTTTTAGAAATGCAGATCTGGTAATCCATTCAGAAAGACTGGGTCAGACAGAAACTCCAGATAAGCAATTAGGCAAGACAAGATTAGCTCAGACAAACACCTAGGATTTGCATTTCCCCTTTTGCCTATAGAGCCAGCCATGACCCCTACATGATGCCATAGAAATCAAAAAGGTATAAAAACCCACCGTACTCTCAACTCCATTTTGTCAGCTGTCACAGAACTACCTGCTGTTTGTGTTGGTTCTGTTCACCAATAAAGAAAATCTTTCTTTCCAATCAGCCTCCATTTTATTCCCAGCTTAGAACTGGACCTGGATTTTTCTTCCAACAGGTAGAGGAGATAACAGATGAATCTTTAAACCTAGAAGTATTTACAAATATTTAAGTTAAGTAGAGGACTTTAATATTATGTTTACCAGAGGCCGAATAATTGCAATTCTATCCAGTACACTGAACCAGAATTTGCACAGTTTCTGAATTTGCACAATTACATTGAGTTGCAGACTAACCAAAAGGATTGAGCTTGCACAATACAGTAAGAAAAAAAAAACATTCTAAGCATATTTTACAGTATTCATATTGAATTCTGGAAGGAACATTTTAGAGGTGATAGGATTGTTATGATAGTATGATGTTGAGTAGTGGGTGGAAAACCAATGCTATAAATGTTAGCGATCAAGAAAAAGAAATGAAAGAGGAAGATATAAAACCCAAGAGTGTGATTTTGCCCACTTCGTTATATGGAAGTGGGGATTGAATGTACTGTAGTTTAAATGGAACATTTAAGATGAGTGTACAATTAGAGAAGAAAAGATGAGGTCAAGAATGCAATGGTTGCTTGAATGACTATGGATCGAATATAAAAATGAATGAAAGAAAGGAATGGATATGGTTTGGTCATAAAGGCAGAATCAATGAAGAATGAATCACAAAATAAATATGTCAAGAAAGAATGAATGTCTTAAGAAGAGTGCTTGGAGTTGAGTGGGTCCTTAGAAAGTTATATGTAACATTTAAAGAACAAGGCAAACAAAGAAGCTTGGCAAGAATAGAAAGCTATAGAGAAGAATAGCGAATGACATGTTGGATAACTTGACTTAGCAGTTTTCTCTTTCTTTTTTCATGCCTTTAATTTCTTTACTGAATTTACTGAGTTTTCTGAATAGTTTTTATCCCAGAGCTATAATTACACTCAACAATGAACCAAAGGGCCACCATCAGTGATTTAGGGGTGGGGAATTTGTGGTGGGTGGGGGGGGGTGTTTGGGGATTGTATAATAATAATGAATCCAATTCCTCGATAAAGCATATTCCAGTCCATTAGGCTTGCCTTTGCATTTGTCCTTTTAAGTTAATACAGGTAGCCCTCAATTTACAACAGTTTGTGTCATGATCATTCAAAGACACAACAGCACTAAAAAAAGTGACTTATGACCATTTTTCACACTTACAACTGTTGCAGCATCTCCATGGTCACATGATCAAAATTCAGACGCTTGGCAGCTGACTCATATTTCTGACGGGGTCACTGTCCCGGGGTCATGTGATCCCCTTTGGCGACCTTCTGAGAGAAGCAAATTCAGTGGGGAAGCCAGATTCACTTAACAACCAATTTAATAACTGCAGCGATTCACTTAACAAATGTGACAAGAATGGTCATAAAATGGGACCACATGCAGTTAACAACTGTCTTACTTAGCAACAGAAATGTGAGGCTCAATTGCGAGGCTTTGAAAATGCTTTGAAATGCTTTTTTCAAAATGCTTTGAAAAGCCTCTGACGATCCCAGCTTAGCCGCGTGATCATCAGAGGCTTTTTTTTTTTTACTTTTAAAAGCATTTTTTCCGCCAAAGAGGTTGTAGAAAAAATGCTTTTAAAAATAAATTTAAAAAAAGGCTCTGATGAGGTGGCCGGATAAGCGAACGGTGATCGGGCTGGGGACCAGTTTGGGGGCGTGGCCAGCCAATGTTATTAACAGTTTTCGGAACTACTACAAATTTTTACTACCGGTTCTTGCGAACCGGTGTGAACCGGGAGCAACCCACAACTGGTACGCTTACCTGACCATGGAAATGGCCCTTGGAGGTAGAAAACAAAAAAAGGAGCTTTAGATTCTTTACCTCAAATTCATAGTGTCGATGTGTCAGGTTGCACCTATTACCTAGAATATTCATTGTGAAACAACCTCAATGAGATTCACGAGTGGCTGTTTATTTTTATTATTTTTTTTTAATTCCAGGTTACAGAACTTAATCATGTGAAGAATATATTGCGGTTGCCAAAAGGCACAAGGAAACATGCTGTAGGGATATATTTTAACGACGACACATCCAGAACTTTTGCTTGTGAATCAGGTAGGTCTAATGACATAGACTAATGTGTGTGTGTGTGTGTGTGTGCACGATTGTGGTAGCTGTAAATATTACAAATGGTCCATACCAACCTGCAGATTTCTGGTCATTTGTATGCAGAACTCGAAGCAGATGAATGGTGCAAAGTCCTTCAAATTGAGTGCCTGGGGACTCAGATTAATGATATTAGCCTCGGAGAACCTGACCTGTTGGCTTCTGGTGTAGAAAGGGAACAGAATGGTATGTAAATACATGTTGTATATAACCACAAGTAGACACATTCAGGGTGCCTTCGAAATGGCTTCATAAAATCCAGAAATGCTCCTTTGTTAATTTTTTTCATTTGGTCATTTTTTTTTAAAAAAAATCTGCAAGTGACATCTCTGTTTATATTCTGTCCTTCTAAATATTTCAGTCCTACGTTTCTAAGCGAAGAGGAAATTATTTGAAATGAGAATAAATCTCAGCTGTTGTTTAGGAATGTGAGGAATGCTGAGATTGGACAACCATTTGTCTGAAGTGGTATAGGGCCGTGATGGCGAACCTATGGCATACGTGCCTAAAGTGGCACACGAAGCCATGTTGCCTGGCATATGTGGCCTTGCCTGTTTATCTTCTGAATTTCTGGTGCACATGTGCACACGATGATCAGCTGTCCTTTGCATGCGCGGTAGTGCCGAAAACTGGTGTGCACATGCTGTCCGGCCAGCTGATTGTCAGGTGCGCTTCAGTGGTGGGTTGCTCCCGGTTCACCCTGATTCCAGCAAACCGGTAGTGCCATCTGCGGGAGGCTCTGCCCACCTGCCCAGATGTCATCAAAAATGATCTGCACATGCGCAGAAGCGCTGCACGCTCGCAAAGTGAGCGTGTGCGCCCGCACACTACCGATAGCAAACCGGTAGCGCCGGGTTTTGAAACCCACTATTGGTGTGCATGTGTGTCAGAACCCGGAAGTTCGGCTTTTCCTGACCACGATCCCTTCACGCATACGGCAATGTTGAAAAGCAGCCTGCGTTTGCGTGCTGGCCAGCTGATCGTCAGGTGTGCATGCATGCTAGAACCCAGAAGTTTGGCTTTTCTGGAGCACTGCCCTGATAAGCGTGTGTGTCCGTGCGCAATGTTTCCGCACGATCTTTTCGGCACTCAGTGCCAAAAAGGTTCCCCATCACAGGAATAGGGTTTCCTGCTTGTGCAGGGGGTTGGACTAGAAGACCTCCAAGGTCCCTTCCAACTCTGTTATTCAGTTAGGTGGAAATCAATCTGTTTTAACAATATGCATAATTTTTTTTATCTCTGTCTGAACAGTGGCTTATCCTTGTAGGATATCAGGGTTTTTGGATTGCACCTTGTGTTCATATCCAACAGTTACTTTTCTATATCACTAAGAACCCTGTTGACTTTCTATCTTCCAAAAACAGAAAGTTTCTAGGCAGAATCTTGCAGATTCTTTGGCTGTACATCATGCACAATTCAGTACCCCAAATTCTTAGAGTTTACGTTTTAACAATTGCATTGGGGCTCCATGTTTTTGACGTGGTTTCACATACATAAACCATAGAGCAACATAGCATGTCAGGCAAAAGACTAAATTGAACTTTTATCCTCAGTGAACTACATTCTTCAACAAGTGGGTTTTTTTCAGTGACATTCAAAAATATGTTTTTCTTCTGCCAACGGAAGTGGCACAATCACATAAAAGTCCTCCAAGCCATGTAAGATTGCTCTTTCATTTTGTAGGCTGTTAGGGGGCAAAAAAAATGTAGGAATAATTATGGAGCAATTTGAAAATGCCACCAAAAATTGATGCACGATTTCTTATGATTATGCTGGCTTTTAGTTCGGCAAGGATTTTAATTTAAATCTTTTGTTTTTCTCCCAGAGAGATTCCATGTGTATTTGATGCCGTCACCTAATTTAGATGTACACGGGGAATGTACCTTGCAGATAACATTTGAAAATATCTGTCTTTGGGACATACAGAATCCCAGAATAAAACTCGTATCTTGGCCTTTAAGTGCCCTCCGGAGATATGGGAGGGACTCAACCTGGTTTACATTTGAAGCTGGAAGGTGAGCAAATTCTTTTCTGCAGGTTTTTTCCCCCATAATGTTGTTGAAAACAGGAAATTCTCTCTGCATTGGAACTCTTGTATATCGTGTTAACAGGACACACAACAAGCCACAGACATATACAGCAGCAACAACTGTTCTCTGTCCTATTAATATAACATCTGATATATTTGATGGCAGAGGAAGTAGGTCTATTTGATTTTGGGAGAACAGCCAATATTTTAAATCTCTTGACAAGTGTGAATCTGATTACAGTCCGTCGCATTGGAAGCTATAGAAGCATGATTCAGACTGGACTATATTTTTTCTGGTATTACATTGGTTAGCAAGGATTTTTTTGGGGTCCTTTTAGATTTTTTTTAAAAAAATTCTTCAGCGCAATCTGAAGATGCGACAGAATCAGACCTATATTTTTCTCCCTGCAACACAGGTTACACTAGCCCTGTACTTTTTATTCAGGAGAATTTTAAAGGAAGGATAAAAACACATTTCCCATCTGTGTACATACATATATATTCACACACATTCAGTAGTGGCCAAAATTGTGGAAAACCTTTGGGAAAAGTGTATTTTCTAAAACTAGCTAATAACACCACTTTTTTTGGAGTAGTACCATAAACCTATATATCAATGGAAAGATAATTTAATCAGGAATGTAATGCAATAACTTTTATGAAGGATTTGCTATTAGAATAGCAGTTATAAAGAAGAAAAGTGAAACGTAGAAAAAAATGAGATATACAAAAATTATCACCATAGAAAAAATGAGATATATAAAAATTATCACATCAGTTAATATTTAGTTGGGTAATCTTTAGCATGAATTACGGCCTTACAATGCCTTCCCATGGAGTGAACCAAGTCTTTTAGTTCTGCAGCTGCTATAATACGAAACCAAGTTTGAATGATTGTTTCTATTAACTGGGTTTTATTGCTGGATCGCTTCTGAGTTACAAGTTTCTTTAGTCAGCTCCATAGATTTTCATTTGTGTTAAGATCTGGGCTATTCCCAGGCCATTCCAGCAGTGGAATATGATTATCTTAAAGTCAAAAAAAAAAGTGGTGTTATTAACCATCAAACCTCAAAAATACACTTTTCCCAAAAGGTTTCCACACTTTTGGCCACTACTGTATATTCACACATGTGTACAATTTTTGGCCTGGATGGTAGACAAGGAGAACATTTAACAATGGATTAATTAGAATATCCAATAGTGGAGAAACTTCAGAGATGAAGCTTGAGAGAGGAACAAAAAAGAATTTTTTTCCTTTACTGAAAGTCCTCTTAAAAAGTACAGGTTTAACCTGGCTGAACTAGTCAGCCAAAATGGCAGCATAGCTAAATTCAAAGCTATGCCCACCTCCATCGCTACCGGATCAGGTGATCTGGTCCGAACTGGGAGCATTTCACCCCTGCTTAGGACCATTGCAGCATTCCCAGGGTCACATGATCAGAATTTGAGTGCTTGGCAACCAGCATGAATGTATGATAATTGTAGTGTCCTGGAATATCTGTTATCTAATACATGCTTGACGAAATAAAAAATAAATAAATAAATAAATAAATAAATAAATAAATAAATAAATAAATAATAAAATAAAATAAAATAAAATAAAATAAAATAAAATAAAATAAAATAAAATCTAAAAAAAAAGTTAATGTGGGAAACCAGATTTGCTTAATCATTATGTGATTCGCCAAACAATTGCAGTGATTTACTTAACCACCGTGGCAAAAAAGGTCATAAATTTGGGTGTGTCTCATTTAACAACCAGCTTGCTTAGCAAACAGAAATTTTGGTCCCAATTGTGGTTGTAAATTGAGGACATTCTGCTGCTACTCTACTAATCCATATCTTCGCTCCATACGGAATAATGGGTCGTGAGCTATCTTGTTATGTAGAGAAAGAATGCATTGTTTGAGAGTATTAAAAAGTAGTCTTCCAGAAAAGAAATTAACTTTAAATAGTGTCTATTCTTTCTTTGTGCTTTTATTTTCATTAAATGTGTTTTGTATGGCCTTTAGAGGGACGCGGTGGCTCAGGGGCTAAGACGCTGAGCTTGTCGATCGAAAGGTCGGCAGTTCAGCGGTTTGAATCCTCAGTGCCATGTAACGGGGTGAGCTCCCGTTACTTGTCCCAGCTTCTGCCAACCTAGCAGTTCGAAAGCACGTAAAAAATGCAAGTAGAAAAATAGGGACCACCTTTGGTGGGAAGGTAACAGCGTTCCATGCACCTTTGGCGTTTAGTCATGATGCCCACATGACCATGGAGATGTCTTCGGACAGCGCTGGCTCTTCAGCTTTGAAACAGAGATGAGCACTGCCCCCTAGAGTCAGGAACGACTAGCACATATGTGCGAGGGGAACCTTTACCTTTACCTTATGGCCTTTATTTGGATTCCCCAGATGTAGAAATTATTTATGCTTATCTGTCTATCCAAGGATATACATGTCATACTTAGGTTTCACTAATAACTGTGGTTTAAATTTGAATACAAGAACCATGTGCAAACTGGACTCAAAGGAGCCTTAGATTTTTGCACATTTCTGTATGTTGTGGTACAGCTCTCCAGTCAATACACACCTTGTAGAGAATCGCATACCAAAACCTGCAGAGAAAAGTATTTCTATAGCAATATTTTACAATGGAAAAGCATAAAATTGGAACAGGATCAACTTGTGCATCAAGAAAGGTGGTAACGTTGCAAGAAATGGGGAAGGCAGAAATTCATCTGAATTTAATACATTGTCATCTGCTATTTTTTGCTTCATCCTTTGTTGTTCCTTCCCCCCCCCTCCCCAGCAGAGACTTTGCTGTAGGAATACGCAGTTATCAATTATTCTGATCGTGTGGAACCATACTCTGTTCTTTTTCTGGCAGGATGTGTGATACTGGGGAAGGCCTATTCATCTTCCAGACAAGAGATGGGGAGGCAATCTATCAGAAAGTCCACTCAGCTGCCTTGACCATAGCAGAACAGCACGACCACTTACTGCAGAATGTGAAAACCTCGATGGTAGGTTTTTCTCCTAATTTCATGGACCACACAAGTCACCTCCTGAAGCAAGAGTTTAGGTTGGATGGTAGGAACGGCAAAGCAGCCTGCTTGCTCTTGCTAGCTTACTCCACGTCTTTGTTTCTAAGCAATGGGTTTACTGAGTGATGAACCTGTAGCTGCAATTGCTGTTTGATTGATGAACACGGGAAGTGAAAGCTACCTCAAGTATCCTGATGGATTGATTCGCCTCTGTTATACAGTAGTGGCCAAAATTGTGGAAACCTTTTGGGAAAAGTGTATTTTTGAGGTTTGATGGGTAATAACACAAACTTTTTTTGGGCGTTTCAAGATAATCCTATTCCACTGCTGGAATGGCCTGGGAATAGCCCAGAACTTAACCCAATTGAAAATCTATGGAGCCGACCAGGGGTGGGTTCTACTTACCTTTACTACCTGTTTGCAATGGGATCTCACACGCACGCCCTCGCTTTGCTCGCATGTGCGCCTTGCTTCTGAGCATGCACAGATTGCCGATGATGACATCCAGGGCGGTGGGTGGGGTCTCCCGCTGGTTTTACTACCAGTTCTTACGAACCGGTCCAAACCGGGGGCAACCTACCACTAGAGCCGACTAAAGAAACTTGTTAGTCAGAAGCAACCCAGCGATAACACCCAGTTAATAGAAGCAATCATTCAATCTTGGTTTCACATTATAACAGCGGCAGAACTAAAAGACTTAGTTCACTCCATGGGAAGACATTGTAAGGCCGTAATTCATGCTAAAGGTTACCCAACTAAGTATTAACTGATGTGATAATTTTTGTATATCTCATTTTTTCTACATGTTTCACTTTTCTTCTTTATCCTGTAACTGCTATTCTAATAGTAAATCCTTCATAAAAGTTATTGCATTACATTCTTGATTCAATTATCTTTCCATTGATATATAATTTTATGGTATTACTCCAAAAAAAAAAGTGGTGTTATCAGCTAGTTTTAGAAAATACACTTTTCCCAAAAGGTTTCCACAATTTTGGCCATTACTGTAGAACAGTAGGCCACATTGCCCCTCGTTTTCAGAAACAGGTATTGGGATGTCCTCTAGGGCAGGGTGTCCAACCTTGGCACTTTGAAGACTTGTGGACTTCATCTCCCAGAATTCTTCCTGGGGAATTCTCCATGGGGAATTCTGGGAGTTGGAGTCCACAAGTCTTCAAGTTGCCAAGGATGAACACTCCTACTCTAGAGGTTGGCAGAAGGATGGTTGGAACTTTGTGCATTTCTAGAACTGCAGTCTATCCATGCCTGGTTTCACCCTTGTTTCTGAGCTACTCATTTAACCCTTAAATATTAAAAGAACATCAAGCCCCTGCTCCTTGGAAAGACATGAGCCTCTCATGAGTCTTTGGGGTGGGTGGTAAAACACAAGTAAGCCAAAAGAAGACATTATAAGGCATTATTTTTGGTGTTATTCTGTTCACACTGCCTTTCTCAGCAAATCTGCAGAATTTGCCCCTTTTTAGCCTTTTACTAGATATTGTATCATCTTAGTTTTAATGTCTTCTTATATTAAGTCTCATTTTTGTTATTTTTTGTTCAATGTGAAGTTTGGAGAAATCAAGTACATGTTATAATAGGACCTGAAAGGAAAGGTTTGGCATCCCGGATACATAATCCCCGTGTAGCTCATGTATTGAACTACTGCATTAAACCAAACAGTTGGATCAATAATCTTGTCTTCCTCAGATTGTAGTCCATTTTCCAAATGGGAAACATCCTGCCAATATTTTTACCTCGACCAAAGTTGTGCTGACTTGTTTACCCAGCTTTAAGTCTACAAACTTCATGCTGCAATATGAGATTGATGAAAACTATCTGCCTGAGAACAAATGTATCTTAAACTAGAAAGCTCATTCGGAATATATGTGATATTTTGCCCCAAATCTCACTGGGATTTTACTGGAAGACAGAAATGTATTCTTTGATTTTGTGGAACTGAAACAGAGATAGATCAGCTGATATACCAAAAATGGTCAGGCAAAACTTGAGGTGTTAGATTAACATATTAAGGTTGGTCACACAGTCAGCCAGATGTTTACTGGATTTGGAATTTTTATCCACCTATCAGGTCCTTCCCAAGGATCTGGGATATAGGCAGATATTGTTGTTGGATGGTGTTAGAGGTATCGTCGCAGGATGTAAATTGTTCCAAGTAAAGCTATCTTTTGTAATTGACTGCTGGTGATTTTGTCCGTATTGATGGTGTTCAAGTGGTATTCTCGATTGTTTTGGAATTTCTTCTTCTTCTTCTTCTTCTTCTTCTTCTTCTTCTTCTTCTTCTTCTTCTTCTTCTTCTTCTTCTTCTTCTTCTTCTTCTTCTTCTTCTTCTTCTTCTTATTATTATTATTATTATTATTATTATTATTGCTTATTATTATTCCTATCACAACAATGTGAAGTCACAGCTATCAGTTCTTTAGCTAATGTTGACCTTCATAAGCATCAAGTTCTTTCCAAGAATTTAGGATCGTGATGGCGAACCTATGGCACATGTGCCGGAGGTGACACGCAGCACCCTCTCTGTGGGCACGTGAGCCATTGCCCCAGTTCAGCTCTATCGTGCATGCGTGTGCACCTCCCACCGGCCAGCTGGTTTTCAGGTCTCTGCTGTACCTGCATGGGGGGCAGGCGCATGTGGGGCACGTGCATACATGCACAGGGGCAGGGAGCATGCGGGGGGCAGCACGCACATGCGTGAGAGGCGGGACGGATGCATGGGGACTGCACACACATTGCATTTTGGGGGTTCGGGTGCACACATTCACATACATGTGTGCTTTGGGCACTTGGTTCGGAAAAGGTTAGCCATCTCTAGCACATCATAATGTACTAGCATAGTATACTATGTGCCAATCTAGACAATGTTGCCTTTTGTCATTGATAGATGGCAATATGTCAGTGCCCAGGCTTGTTAAATGTAGTCCAATATTTTTTGGTATGACAAAAATAATTATTATTAGAAATTGTTATTAGGTGTATTTCCTTAATCTATTAATTGCTTGTGATCTATAAATAAATATCAGAAAGGTTTTTTCCTTCTACAGTTCTTTTCAATGTGTTTCTCTTGTTAAAAATAAGTTTTATTTAAATCTATTTGTTTCCTTTGCTTAAATGCTTTTCTCCAGCCCTTCTATCAGAGTATTTGAAGTTTCTTTAAAAATAATCTTTTAAAAATATTTTACCTGTCTTTTATTTTAAACAAGAAAGATACCTTTAATTCAAAAAGATGAGAGAGATGCCGAATGATACGCTTTTAAGTTGTTTTCAAAGGCAAGTTTTTAAAATGTGTTACAGTTACTAAAAATAGATTTCTAATTGTTTCCATGACAGTAAAATATAGGATAATTTTGTATATTCTTTTGAAGGTTTACCTGATGGAACATATTTATTTAACAGTGTGGCTTTTATTGCATGGTGTATTTGTAATCCAGATGCAGGTGTTAAAGATTTCAAATTGGGTTTTTGTTAAATATAAGTAGTTTTCTGTGAAACACCCTCAGAGATGCAATAGGATCCTACCCTCATAGTCTTAGAAAGAGTGCAGAGAAGATCAACAAAGTTGATTAGGGGACTGGAGGCTAAAACATATGAAGAATGGTTGCAGGAATTGGGTATGTGTAGTTTAATGAAAAGAAGGACTAGGGGTGACATGATAGCAGTATTCCAATATCTCGGGGGCTGCCACAAAGAAGAGGGAGTCAACCTATTCTCCAAAGCACCTGAGGGCAGAACAAGAAGCAATGGGTGGAAACTAATCAAGGAGAGAAGCAACTTAGAAATAAGGAGAAATTTCCTGACAGTGAGAACAATTAATCAGTGGAACAACTTGCCTCCAGAAGTTGTAAATGCTCCAACACTGGAAGTTTTTAAGAAGAGATTGGATAACCATTTGTCTGAAGTGGTGTAGGGTTTCCTGCCTGGGCAGTCTGTTGGACTAGAAGACCTCCAAGGTCCTTTCCAACTCTGTTATTCTAAATTCTAAATTCTTCTGATAGGCCTTAAAGAACTGTCTCTTCTTGTAAGCTTTTTGAAAGAATGAGACTGAAGCCCAGCAAGCTAAAACACCGATGTGTTGGAGACTGGTTTCCCCCAGAGTACCAAGTTTTTATTTGTAGGGTTTTTTTGGTTTTTTTTTTTTTTATGTTTTTATTGTTTTGTGAACTGCTCAGGGCCATGATTCATAATATGGGTAATGTTGCTATATTTGTTTGTTTGTTTGTTTGTTTGATTGATTGATTGATTTTCATCCCACCTTTATTACTTTTGTAAAGAAACTCAAAGTGACACACGTACAGAATATTCTCCTTACTCCTCCTCTTCTTCCCCCACAACAACCACCCTGTGAGCTACGCTGCTCTGAGAGAAGATAACTGGCCCAAAGTCACCCAACCAGCTTTCGTGCCCTAGGTGGGACTTGAACTCACATCCTCCTGGTTTCTAGGCCTGCATCCTTAACCATTACCTCAAAGTGGTATAAACAAAACTATATAAGTTTTTTTTAAAAAAACAAACAAGCATGCCCTTCATATTTTGCATATTGTCCTAGTATGTGTAAGTCTTATTAAACTCCAATTTGAAGGTATTAAAGATGTGCTGACTGGCTAAGATGCATTGCATTCTACAGCTTGCCATTTTTTATTCTAGCAACTTTTTTTTTAAATTAAAAATTAATAGTTATCTAACAGATCTAATGTGTGTGTGGGTGGGTGGAATTACTGCCTCTGAAAATCTACAAGATGTTTAAGAGAACTTTTTCAGATATTTTTAACCTTTGAAAACCCTGGTGGGCTTATTACCGTAGTGACAGATTTCTTCTCTTCTCTGGTGCGCCCTGGAAAGAGCAGGTGACACTTTATCATCACGTTTTATCACCTGGTCAGTCCAAGAAACACTAGAACCATGTCTCTCTTTTAGGAGAGTTGCAGAAATTCGTAAAAGTTTAAGCAAAGCTAGTGTCAACTCGCAAAGCATTCCTGACCTGCTCTCGACTTGCCTTAGGCAAGGGGGATGGGAAACCGACAAAGCAGCACGGCAGCCAAAGACAGGAGCACTTTCCGACATATCTTTCTCAAGGTTGTCTCCTGGGGTTACCCACAGCGGCCGGAGGGGACTGATCTCTACAATCTGCGAAATTGTTCCATTGGCGAATGTGATACACACCCTGGGGGGGAGGGAGGAAACAGGGTCATGATTGGAGCCATAAATTACGTGGGGTCAGAGTTAGCTTCACTTGGGTACGTGCCGACATGAAGCTCCTAATAAATAACTGGATTTCTTTTGAAGCTTGGCTTGAGGCTCATGATTTAATTAGGAGTGAGCTACCGGTACTTTCTTTTAAAAACTGTCATTTTTCAGCTCTGCTCTTTCTGTGTGCATGTGGAGAAAGAGAAGGAAGGAAAGTAGAAAAAAAAATAGATAAAATCTCATTTGTTCCTAATATTCATCCTGCTGTGGGTTCCTCTAAGGAAAATACAGTCTGCAATTTCTTTTCTTCCAGAAGAAATTGTGACAATGTTTTTTGACATTAATGGAATATAGTTTGTTAAAATTCATGCTTTTTTTTTTCCTCAGGGGAAAAGAATTATATGTTTTCCCTAGTGTTTTTGTCTTTGAATGGTCATGCCATGTGTTATTTTCCCTACTCTTAGAACAGCATATTTGTTCTGAACAAGTGTGATAATCTGTAGCTTATTTTTACTCCCTCCTAACTCCCTAAGGTAGAATTGTTATGAAATCAACTTTCCAGCAAGTGGCATGCTTTTCTTTTTTTTTTTTCATTTTATACTGTGAAAGTCTAATCACACATTTTCATTCGTTGAAAAGTATATCAGAAAATGACTGTAATCAGTTTTAAACTATAGCCAAAGTTGTAATCCCAAAACAAAATCAAGCTGAACTACAAAGAGTTATGAACAATGTCATTCTTACTTAAACCTCTCCCCAAGAACCGGTGAAAGTTTTGATGCTATGTTGGAAATGGAGGATAAATTGCTTTCGTTGACTGATGTAAAGATAGAAGAGAGCAGAAGACACAGAAGTAAAATGACCCATGTGGAACAAGGCATGGCAGGAAAAAGATGGTCTTGGGTGGGACTTGATATAGAGCAATCATTTGTCTCCCATTGTTATCAATATATCTTAACATATCTCTTATTTCTTTGACTTTCAAGAAGGAGTTTCTGTATTCACATTAAAAAAATCTAATGTCATCCAGTTTTTATTTCAGTGATTCCTCTGTCCCAGAGACCCTAAATGTGTGTGTGTGTGTGTGTGTGTGTGTGTGTGTGTGTGTGTGTGTGTGTCTGGGTACATGTTGGGAGAGCCAAATTGTTAGAATGGCTTCTTGTAAGGCTAGTATTGCTTTTGAATATATCTCCCACCTTGCTGCTATTTGAGAAATTTGAATGCAATGCTGTTAAATACAGGATGTGTCATTAATTCTTTACTTCCTAAATTATTCATCTTAAACCCAACAAAGGAAGAATGCATAAATGCACAAAATTGCACCAGTGTTATTTCTCAACCAAGGTAATATGGTAAAATCCTGGCTTGTGGGATCCCTTTCCTCAAAGGAGTTATCAGTGTGACTCTTGACATCTCTACTATGTTATACTCCTCCATAGATGGAGCATACAGCTATATACCTGTATACTTATATACTTGAGTGGTTTATACAGCCAGCATATTGCCCCCAACAATCTGGGTCCTCATTTTTACCAACCTTAGAGTGATGGAAGGCTGAGTCAACCTCAAGCCATCAGAATCGAACTCCAGACTGAAGATATTCAAGATAACAGTTTTATTTGATAAAGCAAGACTATTCTAATGTTCTTCTGCTTTCTTTGGTTATATAAACTGTCTTTAATTTTGGATATGAGCTTACTTTTTGCACATTGCAAAGATGAAAAGCATTAAAACCAACCTAGGTGCAACTTTGATGCAACATGTTGAAGATGCATTTCACATGGTCCTCAGATATTCATCCCATTATGTCTTGGATTTTCTTTCAGCTTCAAATGAAAATGACTGACCGAGCTGTTTCTCTTGGCACCATGGTCCCTTTGCCCAGGAGTGCCTATTGGCAGCACATCACACGGCAGCACAGTACCGGACAGCTCTTTGGCTTACAAGGTAAGGTGCTGATATAACATTTCCAAAAATAGTCCCATTGGGTGATGGTATGCATGAAAGTTCTTCAGAGCCTGAGCCAGGAGATGTAACTAAGGGAACAGTCAATAAGATACAACATCGCCTGCAACTGGATAATGGGTGGGACAAAAAGCTCAGAAGGGACCCTCCCTAATTTCTTGAGCTGCAAAGGAGGTGAGGTAGAGAGGTACTTTCAGACTTGCAAGATTCTGTTCAATGTCACTTTACAATAAATATCTGGTTGGTATCTGATTTATATTGTGAAGATGGCATCAAATTTGCAGGTCTGAAAGTTCATTCAGCCAACCCACTACCACCTAATTTATACCCTAAGACAAGGGTCGGCAACCTTAAACACTCAGAGAGCCACAAAGGTCCTAACTGGAAGCCCCCCATTCAATTCTGGAGCTGACCGGAAGCCCGGTTCCCCCACCATAGAGTCTCCTCCTATCGCGGTGTCCTTTTTCCACTGTCAACCGGAAGTCCAGTTCCCCCATCATAGAGTCTCCTCCTAGCGCAGTGTCCTTTTTCCTCTACCTGTCCTAACTGAAAGCCCTATCAATTGTGGAGCTGACCGGCGACAGGGAGCCGCAGTAGAGGGATGAAAGAGCCACATGCGGCTCCAGAGCTGCGGGTTGCCGACCTCTGCCCAAAGAAAACAGGGAGGGTCCCTTCTGAACCTCTTGTCCCACCTACTATCCAATTGTGAACTATGGTATCTCTTATCTGACCATTCCCTTGGCTATGGCTCTTGATCTAGTCCCCCAGGGTCTTTCCTATATAACATTGCACATTGAACCTCAGGAACATTTATAGAGCAATGTACAGATACACAGGTATTGCCATACAGATTCATTTGGTATTGCATTAATCAGTGACAGTCTTCAGTGCTTTCTTTTTCTTGTTCTTCTCCCCTCTCCTGGGCAATGACCTTCTCTGGCTTCCCATTTCAAGGAAGCTCTAATTTTCTATTATGCTTGTATTACAAATCTTGATGCTTGCCTTCCCAAATAGAATTGGAAATCAGACCACAGTTCCCAGATTTGGTTTGGAAGGCAAAGCACAGTTTGCTGATTTGGATCTGGTGAAAAAATATGGTTTGGATGAATGAATGAATGAGGAAGTTGCAGGTGAATTGGAGAAAGTAAAAGAAGAATTGAGAATGAAGAGATCCTATGTTCGCATAGGAGAGATCGTGGCCACCTGTGAAGAGCAAGGTGGAAAACTTTTTCTTTGTTGAAAATGTACATGACATAATTAGATCTCAGGTGACATTTTACAATGTGCTCTCTAGACTTCATATCACTATTTTCATTTAAGAAAAACATGCCTTTTGTGCATAAAACTGATTATCATTATATCTGAGTGTCCAAGTAATCTTGACTAGATTGCAGATGGAATTGAATAAGTGTTAATCAAGTCTTCCATTTTGGAAAGTCAGTAACAATTAAGTCCACAGGCTTAATCAATCAGTCTTAATTCTATCTCAGAAATGATGCCTGATCGAATAGCTCTTTATTGAAAGTTGTTGTTGTTGCTGTTAGTTGCGAAGTCGTGTCTGACCTATCGTGACCCCATGGACAACTTTCCTCCAGGCCTTCCTGTCCTCTACCATCCCCCGGAGACCATTTAAGCTCACACTGACTGCTTCAGTGACTCCATCCAGCCACCTCGTTCTCTGTCACCCCTTCTTGCCTCAGTCGTTCCCAGCATTAGGCTCTTCTCCAGGGAATCCTTCCTTCTCATTAGATGGCCAAAGTATTTTGAGTTTCATCTTCAGGATCTGGCCTTCTAAAGAGCAGTCAGGGTTGATCTCCTCTAGGACTGACCGGTTTGATCACCTTGCAGTCCAAGGGACTCACAGAACCATAGTTCTGTGGAGAAGAACCATAGTTCTTCTCCAGCACCATAGTTCAAAGGCCTCAATTCTTTGGCTCTCACTCTTCCTTATGGTCCAAATTTCACAACCATACATTGCAACTGGGAAAACCTTATTGAAAGTTATTGCATGTTATCTTTTCCTTGTCTGGGTGAACTTTAGATTGTGAAAACTGAAAAGAAAGGTGGGAACCAGCTGATCTATCGGATTCTAAATCTTGACCGTTCCAGATAAAAACCACCCATGTTTTAATTCTTTACGTTCTAAATTAATTCTTATGCACGCCTGATGACGACCTTCTGGTACTCAATATAGGGGGCGGAGCAGCTGTCATATGAAATGAAACCCTGTAAATGAGGGCATGTTACATGTAACACCCCTCTGGTCTGAAAGTTTAAGAAATGGATAGTGGACTATATATATGATTCCTCAAAATTAGGAAATAGCAGGCATCAAACTCCAAACCTACTCCAGAGTCTGTTAAACAATCTGAATATTTTCTTTCTTATTCTCAACAGAAAAAAAATGTTATTGGTTTCCAATTAGGTAATTATTCTAAATGCACCTCTAATTGTAGTAGCTTAGATTGTGACATGCATGATGAAAGGCAGATTTTATCTCTCTCTCTCTCTCTCCTGAATAAACTTATTTCTAGTAAGGTGAAAATGTTGCTCATATTTTTGTAGCTTCAATTCAAATCTTGTTGATTTGTTTTATAATCTCTAAGGACATCTAGTGGCCAAGGAAAGTGTTTATATAATGTCCAATATAATTTATTTGTGAGGGACTGGAAAGAAAAGTAATAAAAAAGAAATGCTATTAAAGGTAAAATGTGTAGGTAGTCCTTGATTTACAACTATAATTGACTGTAATAGTCATACATAGTGGTTGTAAGTCAAGGAATAACATGACCAGAACCAAATTTTCAACATGTTTTTTTTTTTTTGGCAGCAGTTGTTAAGTGAACGTGGCAGTCGTTAAATGATCCCCACTGTTGTTAAGCAAATCCATTTTCTTCAGTGGGTTGGGGATTTTTGGTCTGAAACCAGAATTAAACACCAGAAATTGGCAAAAGGTGTCACAAATCACAGTAATATGATCAGGAGACCTGCAAATAGCTGTAAAGGAGACCTGGTTGCCAAGCGACCAAAATATAATCACATGAATACAGTGCGTGTGTGTGGGGTGGGTGGGTCATGGTATGGGGTTTCCTGCCTGAGCAGGGGGTTGGACTAGAAGACCTCCAAGGTCCCATCCAACTATTCTATTCTATTCTATTCTATTCTATTCTAGTCTAGTCTAGTCTAGTCTAGTCTAGTCTAGTCTAGTCTAGTCTAGTCTAGTCTAGTCCAGTCCAGTCCAGTCCAGTCCAGTCCAGTCCAGTCCTTTGAAAATGGGTTGTGAGTAGATCTGGGGAGGTCCATAGTAACTCTGAATGGTTATTAAGGACAGGAATCCTAGACAGATATTCTAAAATAAGTCTACTTGTACTGTAACCAGTTGGCTTCTGGGTGCAATTCAACATGCTGGTTATGATCTACAGAGCCATAATGGACTTGGTTAGCTGATGGACCATTTGCTTCCTGTAGTTTCTGTCTGTTCTATTTGATTGGACAGAGCTGGTATGCTTTGGGTCCCATCAGTTAAGTAGTACCCTCTGATGGGATGCAGAAAGTTGCTCTCTGGAATAGTATTCTCCCAGAGATGGGAGTCCTCAAACTCCAGGATCGACCTCCTGGCAGTGGGCAGAATCAGCCAGCAATCTTGCATTCTAACCACTGTGCCACCCTGGCTCTAGTTTAGATTGTTTGTGTGAGAGAAAGAGGGCAAATAGGGCTACTCCTAAATAGTTCCCAGAGAATATGCTTCACGGTGCAAGTAATCTGCCTGAGTTTGGCAGGACTTTTTATCTATAGGTGAGGAACTATAAACTATGAGCCATGGTGCTACACTGGTTAGAATGCAGTACTGCAGCAGTGGTGGGTTGCCCCGGTTCGGACCGGTTCTATAGAACCGGTAGTAAAACCAGCAGGAGGCTCCACCCACTGACCCAGACGTCATCAGAAGTGATCTGCGCAGTAAAGGTAAGTAGAACCCACCCCTGTTCTGCAGGCTACTTCTGATGACTGCCGGCTGCCAGCAATTCAGCAGTTCGAATCTCACTGGCTCAAGGTTGACTCAGCCTTCCATCCTTCTGAGGTGGGTAAAATGAGGACCCAGATTGTTGGGGGAAAGATGCTGACTCTGTACACCTCTTAGAGAGGGCTGTAAAGCACTTTGAAGTGGTATATAAGTCTAAGTGCTATTGCTATAAAGGAAATTGCTTAGAAGAATCTCAGTGTCTCTTGGTTTTTGGAACCTGACATCTGTCTATATGAAAATATAAAAAAATGTGGCTTTAGTTCATAGTTGTGGCCATAATCTGGATTCTTGTCCTCTCTGCAGAAACCTCTGGGTGAGGGCAAAGTGAAGGAGGTTTGGATTGGCATTTCAACACCTCAAGCAAATGGAATGGATAACAATATCCATAAAAATCTGAACATTAGAATGAAGGAAAAAAAATACTTTTCTTTGTCATGATGCTTTTGGGCATCTCAAATCATCATTTTAATGGTAAAAGTGAGCAGCTGCTCAATCAGACAAATTTATTACATCCTGAATGTGTGATAATTTGATAACATCATTGTTCTTTCTCCTTTTTGTTTGATTTGGAGAAGATAGCCCACTGAAGATCCACAGAACAGAAACCTTTCCCACTTATCGGTCAGAACATTGATAAAATGGAGCCAAGGACTTTAACAAGCTGTGTGTGTATGTATTGAGATGGACTGATCCAACACCAAGGCTTGCAACTGAGCTGGACGACAATAACGAAGCAGATGAAAGGAGGAAAGACTGGATTATAACTGCTAGATTATTTCTTAATTTTCAGGAGAAGAGGAAGACTGGCTTGAAAATTATCATTTGTAATTTGCAATGTTTCATAATCACATCTGGAACAAAGAAACTTTATTTCGGTATGGGCTTCTTATATAGTTAATCTCTGCTGTTGATTTGTCCTTTGCTATCAGTTGTTCGACATTTAGTTCATCCATTTTGGTGATTTCTTGAATAATGTAGTTTACGGTTTTATTTTCTTGCTCCAACACTGACTGTAACACTTTTCCAATTTTAAGACTGGTTGCTTATTTTTAGGAACTGGAATCAGTTGTCTCCCTGTCTATTAAAGTCTGGTTTTGTCTCAGCTAAGCTATCTAAAGATAATTCTTGTGTCTATATGTTTAATTCATGTTCAAGTGCTTAAATATGTATTTTAAAAGTTTAGAAATAAAATGGCCTTTCCCATATTGTTAGAAAGATCACACATACGGCTTTTCTGAACTATTCAAGAAAAGCAATAATGCCCAGGATTCTGTAGGTAATACTATTACCTATACTATATACTATACTATACTATATACTATAAATACTATACACCAGCAATGCTTCCTTCTAAGCCCCATGTTAATGTTATGCATTGAGAAGTTTTCAGATTGCATGAATGGTTCAATGCCTATTCAGAATACAGAGCAGAGCTTTTAAACGTTTTCCAATTCATGATATGACAGCATGTTAATGACAGGTAGTTCTCAATTTACAACCATTCATTTAGCAACCATTCAAAATTACAATAGCACTGAAAAAAGTGACTTATAACCAGTTCTTGTATATATTTACAACAATTGTAGATCCTCAGGCCATTTGTGACCTTCTCATCCTGCTTCCAGCAAACAGAGTCAATGGAGAAAGCCAGATTTGCTTCAAGATCATATGAGTCACTTAACAACTATGGCAAAATAAATAAATAAAAATAAAGCTGTGTACAACTTACTTAACAATTCCCTTGCTTAGCAATGAAAATTCTGGTCCCAATTGTGGTCATAGGTGGAGGGCTGTGACACAGAAAGGCTATCAAAGCTTATGATCTTAACTTTTAGGGTTAAAATGATTTAGGTTATAACCCCCTTGCCCAGGGCAGAAATCCTAGACAGATATTCTAAAATAATTCCAGATAAATGGCTGCCCAGCCTTTGAACATCTCCAGTGATGGAGATTACCATCTGTAACTTCAGGAAGAGCCTGTCTTGCTGTTTAGTAGCTCTCACAATCAGAAAATTCACTCTTATTCTTAAATTCACTTCTTTAAGCTAAATATATCTAAACATAACCAGATCCTTTGGCTTTCCTAAGATTTAGCATGGTTAGGTGCACCTAAGCTTCTGAGAAACAAAATATATTTATCATATTTAGTTCATAAAATTGGAAGGTGAAAATGAATCAGGGGTGAAATGCTCCCGGTTCTGACCGGCTCTGGCGAGTAGGTAGCGATGGCGGCGGGCAGTTCGGAGAACCAATAGCAAAAATCCCTGCCCCCACCCCCCATGCCCAGCTGAGCCGGGTGATCATCAGAGATTTTTTTTCTTTTAAATGGCTCTGACGATCCAAGCTCTGACGATCCCAGCTGAGTTGCCTGATTGGCAGAGGGTTTAAACCCTCTGACGATCGGGCAACTCATCTGGGATCGTCAGAGCCTTTTGAAAGCATTTTTTTACATGGTTTTACATGTAAAAAATGGTTTTAAAAGTAAAAAAAAAATATTGGCCACGCCCACCCAGTCACATTTCCCCCCCATTAAGCCACGCCCACAGAACCGGTAGTAACAAATTTTAGATTTCACCACTGAAATGAATGGATAATGTTTGGTAACCTCGAGCTGAAGTTAACTTAGAAAAATGTTTGGGTCCACAGTGGGAAGAAACCAGTGGTGGGTTTCAAATTTTTTTACTACCAGTTCTGTGGGTGTGGCATGGCTTGGTGGGTGTGGCATGGCTTGGTGGGCATGGCAGGGGAAGGATACTGTAAAATCTCCATTCTCACCCCAATCCAGAGGAAGGTTACTGCAAAATCCCATTTCCTCCTGATCAGCTGGGATTTGGGAGGCAGAGAATAGATGGGGGCAGGGCCAGTCAGAATTTTTACTACCGGTTCTCTGAACTACTCAAAATTTCCGCTACCGGTTCTCCAGAACTGGTCAGAACATGCTGAAACCCACCTCTGGAAGAAACATATTACAAGATTGTCAGAATTTTACATACACAGAGGAGGCACTTTTTTCTGGGTTTATATACATTTGCTTATACTATAGTCTTCATTACTTTATAATAGTTTTGGCACAAAACTATAAGCAATCATACTATTGATTTTTTAGCAATACTAGCAATAGCACTTAGACTTATATATTGCTTCACAGTGCTTTATAGCCCTCTGTAAGCAGTTTATAGAAATCAACATATTGCCCCCAACAATCTGGGTCCTCATTTTACTGACTATGGAAGGATGGAAAGCTGAGTCAATCTTGAGCCAGTCAGGATCGAACTACAGGCTGTGGGCAGAGTCTGTCTGCAATACTGCATTCTAACCACTGTGCCACAACTTCTAGTAGACAAATGAGACTCCGGGGCAGGGGTGGAATTCTACCGGTTTGGACCGGTTCAGGCGAAGCAGTAGCTCCGACAATCAGCTGGGAGCGAACCGGTTTGCTCCGACGATCAGCTGTCCCCACCCCCCGCCCCTGCGTTTACTTACCTTTATCTTCACAGCTGATTAGTGCAGCAGAGCAGATTGCTGTGCCTCAGCTGTTTTAATTCCGTAGCACTAATGCGAAAGGTGATTTTTCGTTGAACGAAGTGCACAATCACTGAACCGGATGTTAAACCGGAAGGAACCCCACTGCTCTAGGGTTACATAAAAATTGGTCCAGGAAGTACATTCAAGTCTCAGGTTGTTCCCTCCTCCCCAATGGTGGGATTCAGCCAGTTCGCACCACTTCGGGAGAACTGGTTGTTAACTTTCTGAGCAGTTTGGCAAAGTGGTTGTTGGAAGAAATCATTAGGGCAGAGAACTGGTTGTTGAATTACTTGAATCCCACCAATGCTCCTCCCCCAACAAGATATACAATGTGCAGATATTTTAAATACAAACTCTGTTTCCCCTTCCCCCTCATCATATATGATACAGAATCATCCTGCTGTTGGCAGAATTCATTTAATACCCTCCATCCAAGAACCAAATGGAATTTTCAGTCATTTGTATTTGTGTGTGTATGTGTGTGCATTTGACTTTGAAACAAAATCCCCCAACTTTTTTTTCCCAGAGTTTCTATCTACACACTTGAGCCTTTCTAGGTAATTGTTCATGATTGCCTGCTTCTGTTCCAAATGGATTCTGACCTTGTAGGCTTTTCTCAACACTTGTGACTGCAAAAAGAAGAAATAACATTGTGATCAAATTTCTCTGACAAGCTTCTTTGCTGTGCTCTGCTTGACCAAAAGGTGTTGCCCTAACACTGTATATTGTGGTGTCTACATAAACTAAAGCAAGACCCAGAAACACAGCACAATCATCACACCAGCAAAGAAAGGTTAACATTCCTACATTTTCTCAGAGAAGACGCTAATGAAAAGCTACAGGCATCTGCTCCCAAACACCGCTAACAGGGCATAGAAACATAACCAGGCATATCAGTTCTGTCAGCTCATCCTCACTCTGAGCTTGAGAACCTGACACTTAAAGATCGAGATACATTACTTGCAATCATACACCCACTTAGGCTGTGTAAAACCCATCAATTTGTCAGAATTACGGAGTGTGTCCACTCTCCCAGTTTGTGAAGCCTCAGAAAGAATGCTGGGTTTTTATTACCTTCCTTCCTTCACTTTAGAACTGTTGATACATTAAATGGTGGGGAGAGAAAAAGAGAGAGAGGGAGGGAGGGAGAGGGAGAGGGAGAGGGAGAAATTTACGCAGCCATTAATGAATCTTAGGGGGGAAAATATTTACTTGGCTTAAGTTGCCAACTCGCATGTATACATCTGGAGTGCAATTAAAGCTATTAAAACAATCACTACTTAATTATAATCCAGAGAATTCAGACTTCTTTTAGTTTTATGCTTGCAATAAAACTACTGAGGTCTTCAGTGGAGATAGACCAGGGGTGTCAAACTCAAGGCCCATGGGCCGAATCCTACCCGTGGGGTGTTTAGATCTGGACTGTGGGGCCATCCTGGAAACAGTGAGGGACCAGCCCGCAATGCTTCTGCCAGGGAAATGGGTTTTTGAGCTCCGTTTCCGGCTGCAACAGCCTCCTGCAACCCTCTGACAGCGAAAACGGAGCTCAGGAGGGCCGCACAGCTGGAAACGGAGCTCAAAAACCTGTTTTCCCTGACAGAGCAGCTGGGGCAGTCACAGGTGCCCCTGACATGAGTGACATCAAGCAGGCTGCACCCACTCTGGCCACACCCATCTCACCCCCCCAAGGTCAAACACAACCCTGATGTGGCCCTCAATGAAATCAAGTTTGACACCCCTGAGATAGACCCTCTCATGTTTATCAAATTATGCAGCCAACGAGCCTAAGAGGTACTAAATACATTATGAGTGCACGTCTGATGCACGTCTTTTCTCTCTACTTGCAACTTTAGAAATATGATTCTGCCTATAGAGATCTCTCTTGCTGGACTGGGTCAATTGACATCATATGTAACGCCAGAGGTGGGATTCACTTACCTTCCGTACCGGTTTGCAAATGTGAGCACACGCGAGCATGCGCTAACTTTGCTTGCACGTGCCACCTCTGCACATGCACACGGCCATCTGTACATGAGCACTAGTTGCGCATTACATCTGGGCAGATGGGCGGAGCCTCCCACAGTCGCCGCTACCAGTTCACGCGATCTGGAGAGAACCGGCTGAATCCCACCACTGTGTAATGCTGAACTACTAGGGGTATTTTTCTACCACCCTTCCCTTATATATTCAATCATGTTCTGTGAAGAGACAATTTGGAGTTTCAGTCAAAAGGTGATTTCGATCGAATCATTTCTTTCATTGACTCCTGCTGAATCAATTTAAAGCATCAAATCAGAGTGGATATTTTTTTATTCAATTTGACGACTGCTTCTCCCCCCAACCCAAATTGAATAAACAGCTTGCATTGATTATTTGAAGCACATCTTGGGTGATTCACTCCACACTAATATTTAGAGTGGTAAATGTCTTGGTTTTTTTTTTAAAAAATGTGTTTTTCCTGGTTCTTATGCTATTTATTTTTTATTGCAGATAAGATTCGTGATGTTTTTAAGCAATGTGGTGGATGACCTGATCTGGGCTGGAAGTTGCGTAGCTCTTAAAGACCACCTCACCCTG